GGGAAAGAGGGACAGACTTTGGCCAAGGCAGGGTCTGTTCTGAATGTGCTGGGTCCAGAAAGCCCACCCGGCAGTGACCTGGCCCTGGCATCCCCTGTCCCTCCGTCCAGGCCGTGCAGAGCATCGGGAACCTGGGCCAGCAGCTAGGCCAGGGCAAGGAGCTGTGGATGGCCCCTCTCCATCCCTTCCTGCTGCAGAGCGTGGCACGTGTCAGGGACTTCCTGGACCAGCTCGTGGACGTACACGGGGGTGACGGTGAGTCGCTGTGGCCCTGTGGTCCTGCAGGATGGGACCAGCACAGGGCGTCATGGTTACATTGCTGGACTCCCATGTAGTCGACCACAGTTCAGGTCTCGGACCCGGTGGCTTAGAACTCACGCTGGGCATGTGTGCTTGCGTGTCCAAAAAAATTCCAAGAGGACGCCCCATAGCAAAAAATCTCTCGAAGAAAAAAAAAGAAACACTTAAAGGAGGACAGGGCCAGCCCAAGGTGTGGCGGTTGAGGCGACTGCATCCCACGGGCTGACTGTACAGATCGTGCCCTGGGTCCGGTAGATTGAGAAACACACCAGGCACGTGTGTGCCCAGTGTAAAATCCCAAAAGGAGGGAGAGATGGAGAACGGATTACAGTCTGGCTACACCTGGGGTGGGGGGATGTTCTCACCTTCCTTCTCTCTCTCTCTGGCAAGAACATACATCCTCTAGCAAATTAAACAATAATGATAGTAATAATAATAATGAATCATAATAAGAGACCCGAAGGAAGACAGCAAACACGGGCCTCTTAGGGGAGATTGCCCTAGGTGGGAATAGAACGTGTGAAGACCCCGAGGTGGGGACAGAGAGTAGCGGTGAGGCTGCTGGTGAAGAAGAGTGAACGCAGAGGAGCCAAGTGAAGGAGCCCTGAGGCTGGAGAGCTGAGGGGGCCAGACTGGGTGGGGCTTCCCAGGCCCCAGGGTGGATCTGAGGTTTGGCTCAGAGTAAAGTGGAGCCACTTGTGGTTTGAAGCAGAGAAGTTGGGGTCGAGTCAACATGGGAGTACCCCGTCAAAATGCAAAGAGCTCTGGATGTGGCTGGGTTGGGGGTTCCCAGGAGCCCTGAGATGGGCTGGGGGTCCCAGGAGCACTGAGGGGGGCTGGGTCCTGGCTTCCTGGGCGTGGCTGGGCTCAGGGCATTCCCCGGGAGCTGTAGCTCCCCCTGCTGGCTGCTTACAGCCCTGCCTGGGATCCTGCTGGTTGGGATAGGCAGGGCCTGCTTTGTCTGCCCCCTCCTTCCTGCCTTGATCCACTGCAGAGTCAGAGAGTTCGTCCTCCTGGCTCATTTGTAGAGACCCTGGGCATGCTGGCAGGGCAGGGCGAGCCTGGACAGGAAGGAGGACTCACTGTCCAACTCCTGTCTCCCATTCCCCAGAGACTGGTGGCCCAGCCACGGCCCTGGTCCCACCCTCAGCGACCATGCGAGAAGGCTACCTACTGAAGCGCAAGGAGCAGCCTGCCGGCCTGGCCACGCGCTTCGCCTTCAAGAAGCGCTACTTCTGGCTCAGCGGGGAGACCTTCTCCTACGCCAAGACTCCTGAGTGGCAGGTGGGCTCCAGCCCCCAGTGGACGGAGTTTCCCGCTACCTCTCTGTCCTCGGGGGAAACTGAGGCCCCGCGTGGGGCAGACCTCAGAAGTAATTTAGCCGCTGTCGCTGCCAGGCCAGGCTCAGAGCCATGGGCCAGCGCAGTCGTAGGATAGGGCACACGCCTCCGTGTCCCATTGGGCTCCTGAGAATGCGCATGTGCTGTGGCCCGGCGGTCCCCTCCCTACCCCTCCCTACGGGGCAGGGGCGCTACTTCACTGCCTTCCCAGTGTCCACCCAGACAGCACAGACTCACGGAAAATTGGAGGTGCTGGGACCAGCAGATGATGTAATGGTTACGTCGCTGAACTCCCACCTAGGTAACACCAGTTCGCATCTCAGACCTGGCGACTTAAAACTCATGCTGGGCACGTGCATGCCCAAGATCCCAGGAGGAGAAGGGATTGCAGTGTGGCCATTCATTCTCCCTGCGGGGTGATCTCTCACTTTTGGTCTCTCTCTGGCTGTTGCACGTGCCCTAGAGCAAAAGTCACTTTCAAAAAAAAAAAAAAATGGATGTGCTGACAGAGAGCTGCGTGCACGGATGGAGGGGCTCATGCGTCCTGGTGTTCATTTACTCACTCACAGGTTCAGCAAGCACTCCCAGTGCCCACACTGGACCATGCACTTTAGGCGCTGAAGACACAGCAGGGAGCGAGACATAGAAAACCCCGGTTCTCGTGGGCCTGGCATTCCCGCCCAGCGCTCGCTGAGCGGTACATGCGTCCGCAGTTCCTGCACGCACGCGCATAGATGGGAAAGGCTGGAGTGGATCTTCCGTGATCCCCAGAGCCCTGGGTTCCTTGAGTGGCCCTGGGAGGGCCATCTATCCTCTAGTGCCTCAGTTTCCCCATCTGCAAACTGGGGAGAATAACACCCAACCTCAGAAGTTTGCTGTGACGATTTAAGTGGATAAATATAAAGTGCTTAGAAGTGGGTCCCAAGCACCATATAAAACGTTAAGAAGAAAACTGATGCCCAGAGAAGTTGTTACATGTCACTCATCCAGAGAGTGATGGGGCAGGACTGTGGGCCCCTGTGGAACAGCAGAGTGGAGACACACACACACACACACACACACACACACACACACAAGGAGCACAGACCTACATGTTGAGTGTCCCCAGGACGCCACTGAGAGGGGGAGCTGTCCCTGGGCGCTGCCACTGCGCCCCAGTCCCCAGCCTTCCTGCAGCCGTGGCCCTCTTCCCCAGACACGCACCTCCATCCCGGTGTCTCACATCTGCGCGGTGGAGCGCGTGGACGAGGGCGCCTTCCAGCTGCCCCACGTGATGCAGGTGGTGACGCAGGACGGCGCGGGAGCACTGCACACCACCTACCTTCAGTGCAAGGTGAGGCTTGCAGCATGGGGCCGGCGGGTGTCCTTGGGTCCCACGCACCCCCTGAGAGCCCCCCTCCCCCTCCAGAATGTGAACGACCTCAACCAATGGCTGTCGGCCCTGCGCAAGGCCAGTGCCCCAAACCCGGACAAGTTGGCCTCCTGCCACCCCGGTGCCTTCCGCAGCGCGCGCTGGACCTGCTGCCTCCAGGCCCAGCGCTCAGGTGAGGGGGCGGGGTAGATGGCAGGCTCCGCCCTTCCCACCTGTCAGTCTGCGGGCGTCTCCCTTCCTCTCCCGCTGGCGGTGCAACCTTGGGCACGTTGCTTAACCTGTCTCAGCTTCAGTCTCCCCGTGTGAAATGAGGTCGTCCACAGAGGTGATGTGGGGGTTACAGGCACTGATGTTCCCAAGTGCCCCGAACACTGCTTGGCACCTAGACTCGTTAAGTTTGAGGAACTATTGTGGAAGTGCCGGCCCAGCGTGCACCAGCCGTCACCCGCAGCTGGCCTGCTCCGGGAGACCGTGCCTGTCCCGAGAACTACCATACAGTGTTGCAATCCAAGAGGAGGCTTTTGAGACTCCAGCGAATGCTTCTTATCCAGCTCCCTGTGTGTGCGCGTGTGTGGGGGAACCCAGGAGGGCTTCCTCCAGGAGGTGCAACTTAAACCTGAGCAGAGAAGGCGTTAGGCAGTAAAGCTGGAGCCCGGGGCGTGTCAAGGAAGAGTGCGGCAGACAGAGGAGACCCAAGGGGAGCTAGCCTGGGCTGTAAGATCTAAACAGGGCTATGCGACTGCAGCCACCTCTGGGAGGAGGGTGGGGACTGGAGTGGAAACCCGGGCTGGACCTGCTGGAGGCAGGGAGGCCAGGGAGGCTTCTGCTGAAGTCCAGGGGGAAGGGCAAGGGGGACTGGGCAACAGTCGGAGAAAAGGGGACCCGGAAGTAGTAGAGGGAGAAACTTTAGAGGGCAAAGGGGCAGGGTTGGGTGACTACCGACCCATGGAAGCTTCTGGAAGGAGAGAAGGTGTTTCTGACGCTGTGGCCCTTCAGCTGCTGGTTGCAGCCGCACACACTCGGCCGTCACCCTGGGAGACTGGAGTGACCCACTGGACCCTGATGCGGAGACCCAGATGGTGTATCGTCAGCTGCTCCTGGGTCGGGACCAGCTCAGGTGAGCGCCCTCCATCCGGTGACATATCCTTGGACTTTACTGATTTATTTTAATTTGACCAGAGAGGGACAGAGCGAGTGAACGAGCGAGCGAGAGATAGAGAGAGAGAGAGAGAGAAAGTGAGAAAGCAAGCCACCAAGTCTGGGACTTGAACTGCAGTCAGCCACGTGGGAGTCCAACGCCCTTAACCGCCACGTCACCTGCCGGTCCCATGGCCATGAGATTTTCAGTGAAGTTGCTTACCTTAGTTTCCTCATCTAGAAAATGCAAATAATGGGACCAGCAGATGGCATAATGGCTATGTCTCTGGACTCCCATGTAGTCGACCGCAGTTCGAGTCCCAGACCTGGCAGCTTAAACTCACACTGAGCGCACGCGCATGTGTGCCCAAGATCTCGAGAGGAGAACGGAGGAGAAGGGATTGCGGCGTGGCCATCCCCCCTGGGGGGTGATTTCTCGCTTTCTGTCTCTCTGTCTCTCTCTGTCTCTGCCGAGCGCACATGTCATATAGCAAAACTCTGTCTTATAAAAAAAAAAAAAAAGATAATGGCACTCCAGAAATGTTTGGCGTGATGCTGGTGACAATGTATGGGGACCTATAACCACCGGAGACTCTCTGGGGTGGGGAGCAGGACTGGGAAGCAGGGACCAGCCTGGTCTTTCTCCTTCTCCACTTCTAGGCTGAAACTCCTGGAGGATCTCAGTGTGGACACACCTCCAGAGGCAGACACAGGGCAGGGCTCTGGAGCCACGGAAGGTGAGGGCAAAGCGGTCCCTAGTCCCTCCCCTCCTGACACTGCCCCACACCTTGCCAGGCACACCCCGCCTCCCCCCCCACCCCCGTTTCCAGTCCACCAGCGGATGTGCGTTGTGTGGGTGTTTTGGATCACATGGCAGATCTGCAGCCTGAGCAGACCATGGGGTCTGGGTGTGGCAGCCTACCCTGGACTGTTTGAGTCCCAGTGGCCCCTTTGTCTCCCTCCCAGGGGTCTGTTCTGATGCCCTGACCCGGCAGAGGGAGGCGACTACCCGCCTGCTGGAGGTGCTGGCGGACCTGGAGCAAGCCCATGAGGAGTTCCGGCATCAGGAGCAGGGGACAGTGGCCCCCCGTCCCCTGGTGCCCTGAGGAAATGCCCAAGCCAGCCTGGAGAAGGAGCAAGGAGCTGGGGGCCTTCCTCAGCGTGCCCTGGTGCAGGAGTCGCCTCTCGGCTGTCCTGTGACTCTGGTGCTGCGGATTGGAGGTTTCCAGAGGCACGCCTCGTCCTGTGTTCAGAACCTGGGGCACAGAGGCCCTTTGGGAGGGGCAAGCCTTGCACTGAATAATTCTCTTTCTGGCTTGAGGCAAATGTGGAACCTGGGTCTCTGCCTCACCAGACTGGCCCCTACTCACACTGGCAAGGCCAGCCTGAGCTGCTGGATACAGCTGTACCTGAATCCCCCATGTCCATGTGGTCTTGTTGTCCCAGTCAGGCACTAAATGGGCTCAGCCCTTCCTGTTTTCACGTCAGCGGATCCTTGTAACCTCATTGATCCTTCTGCACCCTGCCCTTGGCTGAGGGGCCCAACCACATGGTTCCTGACACCGAGGCAGGGAGTCTGGTGTGGCAGACTCTGACCCCTGCAGCCTGCAAGACCATGAGCCAGGCTCTCACCTCCATCAAGCCTTGGTTTACTCTGTATGGCATGAGGTGTGTGCCTTTCACAAAGCGACCACAGAGGTGGCTCAGGACCCAGGGAGGGAGGGGTTTCTCAGGCAGTGGCCCAAAGCCCACCCTCGGGGGCCGTTAGAAATGCAGGTTCCTGGGCCCCACCCCGTCACTGACTCAGAATCCGAGGGTATACTGGGGCAGGAGCCAGAGTCTTTCACATGCCCCCATGTGCTGTGGGTGAGCGTAAGGAGGCATGGAGGTTAAGGCTGCTGGCTGCCACATGGCCAACTATGTGGTTCGAGTCCAGGACCCAGCAGCTTGAAGAACACATAAGGTGCGTATGTGTGCATGCCCAAAATCCCGAGAGAAGAATGGAGGAGAAGGGATTGTGCCATGGCTATCCCCCTCTGGGGGCAGGGGCATAATTTTTAACTTTGTCTCTCTCTGGTGAGCACATGCATCCTATAGCAAAACTTAAAAAAAGAAAGAAAAAAAAAAGGTTTGGGGTCAGCAGGTGGTATAGTGGTTAAGGTGCTGGACTCCCACATGGCTGACCGTGATTCAAGTCCTGGACCCAGTGGCTTAAAAATCATACCGGGGATACCAGGTGTGTGTGATTGCATGCCCAAGATCCTGAGAGGAGAACGGGGAAGGGACTCCTAAAAAAAATAAAAAATGGTTCGAGGATCAGAGGCCCGGGCATCAGAGTTTGGGGTGAATGAACCAGTGCATAAAGTGTTTGGAGGGACCAGCAGTTAGTGTAATGGCTATGTCGTTGAACTCCCACGTAGTCGACCGCAGTTCGAGTCCCAGATCCGGTGGCTTAAACTCACGCTGGGCGTGTGTGCGTGCGTGCCCAAGATCCCGAGAGGAGAATGGAGAAGTGATTGTGACATGGCCATCCCCCTTGGGGGGACGATTTCTCACTTTCTATCTCTTTTGCCTGTAGCAAAAACCTCTCCAAAAAAAAAAAAATGTTTGGAAACACTTGACTGGCAGAACAGGAAGGGCCTTTAAGCACGCCTAAGTAGGGCAGAACCAGACCAGGAGAAACCGGAGCTATCCCGGCCTTGGCCAGCAGAGGTCGCCTGGAGCCATGGCATCTACCACAGTCACAAGGACAACCAGGCCGATTGCAGATGCCCAGATTTGAACCCTAGCAATGCTAGGGCACTGTCCCTGTCCTTCCCGAGACAGGACCTAGCCCTCTTCCCTGAAGGCTGGAGGGCAGGACTCAGGTCCCGATGAACTGGTCCTTGTCCACCTGAGTTCCTTGTTGCTCATAATTGTGTTCCTGTGAAAGAGGGCACGCCCACCTCTGCTCTCCTGGGGACCAAGATCCGGAGCGTCTGCCTCTGGCCAGACTGCCCCCACTTCCTGCCGAAAAACATTCCTGGGACCCTTCCCAGCTACCCGGACGGTGGCCCTGAGGTTGCACGCCATGGCTCCCCACCTCCTCGGGAGCAGAGCCACCCACCCCCCTCTTGGCAGGAAAAGACCGGGTGAGGAGGAGAAAGACCATTTATTTTCCCCACCCACAGTGGGACTGGTAGGTTTTCAAAAGAGCAGTCACTGGCGTCCCTTTAAATCTTGGCTGACTTCCACCATGGCAGCCAATCAACAGAGGCGGAGCTGGTGAGTTGCCTGGGCAACAGGCCCCTGGTTGGCCGGAGACGATCAGCCACCCCACTGCCCACTTCCAGGGAAAGGGAAATACAGACCCTTTGCTGTCGTTCTGCCTTTTAGACACACTGGCCTAAACGAGGCTCCCTCCTCGCTCGCTCCTGAAGCCAGAAGCTTCAGCCTTTGGATCTCCAAGTTGGGAGTGCATGGGTGGGGAGGACGGGGTGGGAAGGGAGGATGAGCAGTGCCTTTATCTGGGACAGACAGGTGGCCTGGGGCTGGCAGAGAAGGAGGTCAGGGTCCCAGAGGATGGAGAGACAGCACGGAAGAAGGGAGCGTCCGTTCCTGCTCGCTCTGGCTCGCTCAGGAACCGCAGGCGTCCACCTCGTGGGCCCACGATGCCCAGTCAGGAGGCGGTGAAGATGGCTGATGACACAGGGGGGGTGAGGCATGGGGGTGGACTGAGCTTCCCGAGCCCCAAGCCTGTACGGATGCGATAGAGACACAGGGGAATCCACACGGGGAGTCACGGGGGTCTTTCTGTCTCTTCTGCCCCAGTTTGGGGGTAAGTAGAGGCACGTGGGTGTGCGTGCATGTGTTCAACAGGACACGTGTGTTTGTGTGTGAGGGTGGGTCTCTGTCTTTTCGGTAGGGAGGTCGCTGTGGTTTCTGGTACTCTCGGCGGCCGTCTTGGGGAGCTACAGATTGGAGCTGGCTGGCCTGAGGTTCTCCTGTCATCCCTGCTGCCACGAGCCAGAACTCCCCCTGACCGCTTCCAGCTCCTTCCACAGGCTCCTCCCCCCCAGCCCTGAACTCAGGCCACCAGGACACACCTGGTGGAGGGAGGCGTGTGCCAGGCCAGGGGCAAAGCAAGGGACGGTGGCAGCTCAGGCCTTGGCCACAGCCTCGGACACGCCCTGGGCTGTGAGCTCGGCCAGCACGTTGTCTAGGTAGCTAGCGTCCGGGTAGCCGTGGCCCGTGAGGTTGGACCCGAACTCGGTCTTGTGGTGGATCTCGTTCCACACCACAGTGTCCGACTCGCCTGTGGTGTTGGACGTGCCGATGGTGAAGATGAGCCTTCGCTCCCAGGCTGTGATGAGCAGTCTCAGCACCTGAGGGTAGCGGCAGGGGCAGGGGCAGGGGCAGGGCAGTTACTGGGCTACCTGAGGGTAGCGGCAGGGGCAGGGGCAGGGCAGTTACTGAGCAGAGGTCGTGAGAAGCTCCCACTATCACCAGTCACCTCTGGCGCCTTGAGCCTGCCAGCCCTGATCTCCTCCCTCCCCTGCCACATAAGGGTGACTGATTCGCTCTGCACCAACTAAGCACTGTGCCTACTAAGGGCTGTGCCTACTAAGGGCTGCACCAAGGGCCATGTCTACTAAACATCGTGCTAGGTGCTGCATCCACTAAGCACCACATCCACTAAGTGCAACACCTTCTAAGGCTGTGCCTATTAAGGGCAATACCCACTAAGCACCACACCTACTAAGGGCCATGCCCACTAAGCGCTGTACCCACTAAGCAATGTACCCACTACACGCCATGCCCACTAAGTGCAACACCTACCAAGCACCACACCCACTGAGCACTGAACCTACTAAGCGCCAATGCCCACTAATCATAGCACCTAAAGCACTTTGCCCAGTAATCATGGCACCTACTAAGCGCTACACCCACTAAGCACTGCACCTACTAAGCACTTTGCCCACTAATCATAGCACCTACTAAGTGCTACACCCACTAAGCACTGCACCTACTAAGCGCTGTGCCAAGTACCATACCCACTACATGCCATGCCCACTAAGCGCAATACCTACCAAGCACCACACCCACTAAACACTGCACCTACCAAGCACCACACCCATGAAGCACTGCACCTACTAAGCACTTTGCCCACTAAGCATAGCACCTACTAAGTGCTACATCCACCAAGCCCTGCACCTACTAAGCACCACGCCTACTAAGTTCAACTCCTACTAAGCACTGCCGAGGAGGCCATCTCCTGCCCGTTTGTATTTTCTGGACTGAGCTCTGTCAGGAAAAGCTCTTTCCAAGGTCTTTGGGGGTGAAGGGTCTCAAACTGGCGGCTCCCCACTGTATTTGGTCTGGACCACGCCATATGAGGTAGCCACGCTGTGCATTAGTCACCATCATTCACACACCCGGGGCTCTCACATGCACATCTTCTCAAGCTTCCCTTGAAACTCAAAACGTTAAAACCAGTTAACTTAGTGTGGTGGGAAAGAGAACCGACTGCGTAGGTTCAAATCCCAGCCCCACCACTCGGTGGCTGTGCGAGGGTGGGCGTGTCACTTGCTCTCTCTGAGGCGCTATTTCTTTCTCTGTAAAATGGAATCAAGACCTGGACCCCTGCATGGTGACCAATGAGAGCAGGGGCTGGGGGCCCCGCCTGTGTGCACACCCCCATGCTGTCTCCCACGGCCGGGCACCCACCTTCCGACCCTTCTCGTTGTTGGGCAGATAGCAGTGGCGTGGGAAGCCTCTCGCGGTGAACTTCTTCCCCGGGTTGGGGTGCTCAGGGCCCTGTGGGGAGGGGCAGCAGGCGCTTTAACCAGAGCCAGCTGTGGGGAGCCCCAAGGGCACCGAGGAGCCGGAGCGGGGCTCACCTGGATGCCTGTGGGGATGTCGTAGACAATGCGGATGGTCTGGGTGTCGGCAAAGCCAGGCAGCGAGTGGGGGATGAGGTGGAACTCCATCTTCCCGGGCGGCTGAGTCCCGGTCTTCTCGCCGTAGATGGCTTTGCAGGTGGGGCACTGCAGGCTGCCATCCTGGGGTGGGTGAGGCTGAGTCACCAGGTGTCCCGACCCCGCCCAGGCCCTGCTCACCCCCTGCCTGCTGCCCTGCCCAGCCCACCTTGTTGCCATTGGAGTACATGGCCACGAGGCACAGCAGGTGGTACATGTGGCCACAGCGGCCCAGGCGGCCGACGAGCTCAGGCCTCACGCCCTTGTGCCGGAGGACACCCTCGTAGCCGGACGCTGTGACTAGCCTCTCCATGCAGATGGTGCAGTCCTGGAAGTGGGTAGTGGGGGTCAGTGCTGGTTGAGAGAGCAGACTGAGGACTAAAGAGGGTGGGGCGTGTATGGGTCAGGCCCCAGGCCACCCCCTCTCTGGCGCCCATTTGGTAAAAGGAGAGAGGCCACCCACCCATGTACTGAATCCAGTTATAGCACAGAGGAAGAGGTGGCTGTCACTCCTCCGGGTGGACGAAAGGCAAGGCTTAACTACCCAGAGCAAACTCGACGAGGAACTAGATGGTGGGGCAACGGTAAAAGGCGATGTTCTGCAAGGCTGACTCACATGGGAAGGTTTGGAGTTCGTGTCCGGGGCCCTCCCTGAGGACACTGGGTACATCGTACCCATGATCTGGGGCTGGATGAGGTTGGGGGTAGACTGTGGTGTCATGACTGTGTTGGGGGTTCTCTCTCTCATGGAAAACGTAAATAAAAACTTTAAAAAGGCAACACTTAAAAACTGTGAGTGGGGACCAGCAGTTGGCGTAATGGCTATGTTATTGGACTCCTATGTAGTCGACTGCAGTTCGAGTCCTGGACCCGGTGGCTTTCAAGTCTCAGGGTGCGTGTGTGTGCATGCCCAAGATCCTGAGAGGAGAATTGAGAAGGCATTGCGGTGTGGCCATCCCCCCTGGGGGGTGATTTCTCACTTTCTGTCTCTCTGTCTCTCTGGCAAGCGCATGCACCCTATAGCAAAAACCTTTCAAAAAACAAAACAAAATAAAACTCCTTAGTGGAAAATATGGGTGAAAATATGACACAAAATTGTGTCATCAAAAGGTTGATGATACATGTGATTCTATTAAACCTAAAGGTTTTGGCTTCATCAAAATCCTCCTAAGAGTTTGCCTAAGGCCAAACGAAGGACATGGTTGTCCATGTCACAGAGGACCCAGAGGGACTCACATCCTGGGGCTTGGCCCCCCAGCTCTCTGGAGGTGAGGTCCCCCGCCTCCACCCTGACATGGACCCTCTGCTCAGCTCCCGGCTCACCTCATCAGGCGGGTTTTTCACCTTCTGCATATACCTTCGAACCACATCCTCAGGGTTCTTACCTGCAGGGACACAGGGGGGTGAGTGTGAGGGTCCCCAGAGTGTACACCCAAGGGCTTAGCTCAGGACCAGGTCAGGGTTCAGAAGGCGGGGGTCAGGTTGTAGGGACTGGCCACAGTCGGATGTCAATTAGATGCACGAGGAGTTTGGGGGGTAGGTCGGGGAGGGGAGCTGAGATCAGGAGGTGGGGGTGCGGTCTTAAGTCCTAAGAGCTGACTGGGGTGGGCGCAGGAGGCATACTTTTCTTAAGGTGCTTTTTCTTGGTCTTGCGGCACACTCCGGGCACGCCGGGCACGGGCTTGACGTCGCTCTTGCTCACGGGCGGCGGGTGTAGGATGGGCTTGGGGGCCCGAGTCAGGCACACCGGCAGCCCGGCCGCACACAGCAGGATCCCGGTCATCCCTGGGGGCGTGGCGGGGGCGGTCAGGGGGAGGAGCGCCTTCCAGGCTCCGCCCACCAGCGCACACGCTCTTGTTATTGATGGACATATGGGGCCCTGCCCGCTGCACCCCCGCAGGAGGGTGGTTTGCGGAGATGTAGGGACCCGGTGCCTCCCAGTCCCACTGCCTGGACGCACCCCGGAATCCGGAAACCCCCAGGTGGGTGGATGAGGTTCCCTCAGGGGATTTGCCCACTCAGCCCAACCCGGCCCAGTGGAGGGCCTTCTTCAGGCTCCGCCCACTCAGGTGTCGCGGGCCCAATGGTAGGGGGCGTTTCCTCCTAACCACGCCCACCAGTTCATCAGGGGGCGGAGCCTGCGACTCCGCCCTTCTTCCCAGACATGGGCGATGTCTCACCTGCTAAGGCCGGATGGACCGGCCCGGTCCCGTTCAAGTTCTTCACCGGGAGCGCAGGGACCCTGCGGGGAGAAGACAAGAGGCCGCGGCTGGACCCCAGCCCTCACACTGCATCCCTGTCAGGGACTCACAACACGCTGAGCACGTTAAGGGCTCTGATAAGTCCCGCATGAAGACGTACTGTTAGCGACGGTGAGTCCAGGTTTTCCAAAGACAGTGGACGATGAACGCGTTTCCCTACCGGCATACTCACTGATGTCCCGAGACTCAGGCATTGGCCTCTCTTCCAATGAAGAGTTCCTGGACAAAGGTATTCTGTTTCTTCTCTCCCCCGTAGCCCCCCAAAGAGCTCTCCAGCTTCTGACGTCAGCCAGAGATACTTTTCTATCTCAGTTCGGCTGCTAATTGGCTGGGTGATACAGCCCATTCTCTTAACTCCAGTAAGCCAGTTTTCCCATCTCTAATATGGGGAAAATACTGAAGCCAGCAGCTGGTGGTTGAGGTGGTGGACTCTTATGTGGCCGACCATGGTTCGAATCCCAGACATGGCAGCTTGCTTTCTCACTTTCCCTTTCTCTCTAAGAAGTGACAAATGTTATACTTTCACTCTAGAGTAGCACATGGCAAGTGTTTCTTGCTGCAAATGTGTGTGTCTTCATATATATATACATATATATATATATATGCATATATGTATATATATATAAAATACTTTATATATGCATATGTGTGTGTGTGTGTGTATATAAATACTTTAATTATTTCACAGTGTTTTTATTCATTTATCCCAAGATCCTCTCGGGATCTCTGGCACACATGCACACGTGCCCAGCGTGAATTTAAGCCAATAGGTCTGGGACTCAAAACGTGGTCAACTACGTGGGAGTCCAGCGACATAGCCATTATGCTAACTGCTGGTTCCATTCAGTAATTCTTTTAAAGCATAGGAAGATACGGATGGTACCTTCCTGTATCTGCTATGAGGATTTAATTCTACATGCCGAAGGCTGAGGACGATTCCTGGTACCTAAATTAAAGACTCTGAAGGCAGTTGCCACCCACAACATCCTGGTCAGCTGTGCCAGCCTGGTGACTTCTCTGGACATGGTCATCTTGGAGAGGAAGCCATGAAGCATTGTGGTGACAACTTGGAACAGGTGGTTTCACCTCTTGATCCTCAATTTCCATGTGTAAAGTGGGGGGGATAAGATCCCACGGGGTTGCTGGGAGCAGCAAAGCAGGCTGCCTGTGACCTGCAGCATGCAGGTACCTGCGAGTCCTCACTCCCCACCACTTGCTTTTGCAGGTGGGCCATGTCTTGCCGCTGATAGGCATGGAGCCCTGGGCGCATACTCTCTGATCGGGAGTATTCCGATGCCCAGGCATCACCTGGAGGGCTTGGGAGACATGCCAGGAAAGGACACAGGGAAAGATGGGGCAGTGACGGCTGGGAAAGAAGTCTCGTACACCTACCTGCTGAGGCCTGCCTGGTACTACCTGGCCAGCTGTCTCCGGCAGGCAGAGCCAGCACTGAGAGCAGCATTTTAAAAAAATTATTATTGTGCCCAGGATCCCGAGAGGAGAATGGAGGAGAAGGGATTGCGGCGTGGCCATCCCCCCTGGGGGGTGATTTCTCGCTTTCTGTCTCTATGTCTCTCTCTGTCTGGCGAGCGCACGCGCCCTATAGCAAAAGCCTCTCCAAAAAAATTATCCAAAGAATAGGGGTGTTTTTGATCCAAAGGTCATATATTTTCTGTTAGATTATATTGTTTCCCTAATATACTACAAACTGCTAAAATATCATATAATGAACATTCTTAGTGAATACTTACATTTGTATATTACTTTACAATTTTCTAATCTTCTTCATATTGTATATACAAAAGGTCTTCAAAAAGTGTATTAAAATGTATATTATGAAAAATTTTGCACACTATTTTTTCATCTAAATAAACCCAATCTTTTAATCACATTTTTCTTTTTTTTAAGAATTATTTAATTTTATTTATTATTATTGTTGTTGTTTTTAAATTTGCTGTAAGGCACATGTCCTCATCAGAGAGAGAAACAGAGAGAGAAGGAAAGTGAGAGAGCAAGCTGCCGGGTCTGAGACTCGAACTGCGGTCAACCATGTGGGACTCCAGCACCTTAAGCACCACACCACCTGCTGGTTCCCATTTTTCTGAAAGTTCTTTAAAGTTCCTCCACATATGTAGAGTTTAGTACAAAATTTTATATATAGAGGGAGTTTAGCAAATTTGAAAGGAATGATAGCTCCTTGAGCATAGAGATTGTAATTTAGTAATCTTTTCCAGAGCAGATGAAAGATCTGAATAATGCTATTTTTCCTCTTTGTTTTTCTTCGAACTTCATGTGGCAGGGAATATTGATATTAATGTGGAAAAAATATTAAATTTGCTTTCTCTGATTGATGTTGAAATTGCTTTCAGGAGTGGAAATGATTTTGACTTCCCCAGCTATAACCATTTCATCCAATGCCCCTGATTATCAAAAACACCGAGATGGGCAAGTTAGTGCCAGAAATAAGGATGACATCCTCTGACTAAAGGTTAGAAGAAAAGAGCTAGCCCAGTAGTCTGGTGTTAAGGGAGGCCGATCCCACATGGCAGACTGTGGTTTAAATCCTGGCTCTGGAGGCTTGAAAAACAAACCAGATACGTATGTGCATGCCCCAAGTCAGGACACAGGAAATGGAAGAAAGGAGATTGCATCATGACCATGCCTCATTGAAGGGTGCTATTCCACCCCTCTCCCTGTCTCCTAAGCACACGTGTCCTCTGGCATTTAAAAAAAGAAATTAATAACTAGAAAAAAAAATGAGGCCACAGAAAAGTTAACTCCAAATAGTCTTTCCAGAGTCAATTATGCCCCATGTTACACATGTGAGGGGTTTTCAGAATGTTCATGGAAAATGTGTACAAAGGCTGTGGCGGGTGGAGCCCCTTTAGAAAGTGCTGGGAGACCCAGGGTCATGCACACAGCTCTTAGGGAGGTGGAAGGGGACTGCAGGTCCTCTGGGTCTCCCAGAACCTGGTTGGTCGAGGTGGGATGAAGATGCAGCCTCGCAGTCTCCCCACCAGTAACGCGGATGAAGTCTTACGGTGGTTAAATGCGTCAAAACATGGAAAGCTCAGAGTTTGGTACAGGGGTGGGAGTGGGAGTTTCTTGATTTTTTTTTTTTTTTTCCTTCTGGTGGTCTGCTGAGGCCCAGCATCAAGAAGACGATGCTGAGATTCCATCTGACCTTTCTCAGGGTCTGCCGTAATCCCCAAAGACCTTCCTAAGGCGGGGATCTCCACCCTAATGTCATCCCTCCCCATACTTCTGTAGGCAAGTGCAGAGGTATTTTTCTTAAGCTTCCCCTCTTCCCTGCCCTGTCTTCATGAGAAGAAAACATCACTCCTTTGTAAGGTTATCTGTACAATGGGAGCAGGGGGGAGACGTTTAGCATACATAACATCCTCTCTTGTCTCCTGCCTGTGGCAGACATCACTAATCCATCACAGCACTTTCCCAAGCTGAACAGAATCCTCCACGCAGCTCTCTAGGCCTGGATCCATCAGTAAGGCCAGTTTGCTACCTGGGGTCTAACTAAGGTGCAGCTGCTGGTCCTGGTCTGGCTGAATCTTTGGCTTCGAGTTAAGCAAGGATACCCCAGAGAAAGAAGTTTTAGATCTGAGCCACCCTAAACTTTCTGGAGTTCCTTAAAGTCTACAGAGCCCTAGGTAACAAAAAATTGATCTTGCTCCTGGCAGCAGGACTGTGAGTGGGGCGTGACAGTGGGGCTGTTTTCTATTTACCATCAGCAAACTGGGGGGACAGTCCCGAGGAGGTCCTCAGCCTCTCTCAGTTCGCAGGCTCCCTGCGAGAACTCGGTTACTCAGAGTTCTCACGACGCCCAAGCGTGGGAGCCACCCGGTCCCCCTTTTGATGTGGGACTTGTCGTTTCCTCCAAGCCAGTGAGAACATCCTCCTGTCCTGGACAAGTGACTGCAGCCTGCAGGCGTCCCGGAAGGGGGGCTGGCCTTCACCCCTGCTCTGCATTCTTGGGGTGCAATCTGGCAAAGGGCTAGAGGAATCCTTCAGAGACCCTGGAAATCTGCTCTGGCCAGAAGCCAGGTCTGGCTTCCCCAGGGCGAGGATGGGCCCTGCTGCCACTCAGCCTTGTATCAGATCCTGTCTGCTCTCAATCCCCCCATGGCTCCCACTTTACTCAGAGGGATGTCCAACCTCTGCTCTGGCCTCTGCCTACTCCTTGAATCTCACTTTCTATGTATGCACCCCTCGCTACTCCACTCCAGCTCCCCTGGTCTCCCTGCTGTTTGTCAAACATGGCAAGCACGTGACTACCCCAGGGCCTTTGCACCTGCTGATCCTTCCCAGGATGCTCCTCTCCACACCCCTCCTGGCTCAGTCCCTCACTTAACACAGGTCTCTGCTCAGATGTCACTGTATTGAAGAATGCTTCCTTACCATTTTACTTTGCTTTTAAAAAAGAATGATTTCTGTAACTTTATTTATTCATTTGTTTATTTTCATTTGGCAAGAGAGAGAGAGAGGAAGTGAGAAAGCAAGCTACCAGATTCAGGACTCGAATTGTGTTCGACCATGTGGGAGTGTCCAGTGCCTTAACCACCAAGCCACCTGCTGGTCCCTCCTAACGTTTTACTTTAGAGAAGGCAGTCCATTTTTGTCCTTTTCTTTTTTTTTTAAAGAATGGTTTTATTTAACTTTATTTATCTACTTATTTTTTAATTTGACAAGAGAGGGACAGAGCAAGAGAGTAACAGAGAGAGAGAGAGAGAAAGTGAGAAAGCAAGTCGCCAGGTCCGGGACTTGAACTGCGGTCAGCCATGTGGGAGTCCAGTGCCCTTAACCACTATGCCACATGCTGGCCCCAACTTATTTTTAATTATTTATTTTTTTAAACAAATTAAAAAGTGTATTTAGGGGAACCAGCAGTTAGCGTAATGGCTATGTCGCTGGACTCCCACGTAGTCGACCGCTGTTCGTGTCCCGGACCCGGTGGCTTGAAACTCAC